CGTGTAGTTAGTAATTTAATAAATCGTTATGTTAAACTTATATTGAAAATATAAGTACAATTTTAGTGTTTACAATTAATTTGCCTTGCAATTATCTCATTAATTGGCGTAGGGCGTAGTATTTCACCTTCTTACACCTATTGGTTTCCTATCGGCCTATCTGAGCATACTCTCCTTATTTTGGAGAATTTTATGGTACAATTATTAGGTAGGATATTAATTATAGTTATTTTAGTAATTATAATGTAATATTATATATATTATATTACTATAATTAGATAATTATATTCCGCATTGGTGACCTAACGGTTTAGCACACCGCTCTACTTCCGATAGTATTCAATTCGATTCCCCGCACGGTACAAACATTCATATTCATGAGTATGACTGTTTGTATCGGTCAAGATGTTTCTATGTATATTATGTACCTATGTATATAGAAACAAAATCTATTTATTTCTATCAGTTGCTAGTAATAAGACAAGCTCTACATAATTTGGGATTAGGTGGCGCTGTGTGAATTTTCTTGGGACAATATTGTTGTGACTTTTTCATAATATATTTGAAATTAAAGGATCAAAAAACTAATCGTGATATTGATATAGGTTCTTATCGAAATTATTAAAAAAATATTATGTTAGGCATAGAGTTAGAGGTAGTCTAAGAAAAAGGCTCGGCGATCTGATATTATATATATATATTTATTAGATATTCAAATTCAATTTCAAAATATCTTTATTCATGTAGGTCTATTACAGACTCTTATGATAAGTCAAATCTGCCGTCAGTTAGGAATGATTTCGAGATGAGAAGAACTGACAAGAAACTCAGCTCGTATTTTTTTTTAATGTTGTACATATTTACAATAATACTATTTATATATATAGATATCTATATATAATATTATTGTTTTTATCTTCTAACAACTTCTTATAAATATATCGTCGCGAATTTAATTTAATAAAATTATGTTTACATTTTTATCTGTTTTGACTATTAAAGAAAGATAAACCTAAATATTGCAGTGATAAAGCAGGATTTTATTAAAAAACATATTTTACTATAAGGTAATTGTAACAGTAATAATCTCAGGACAATTCACACAGCGCCATCTAGTGCCAAGTTAAGCTAGCTAAAGCTTGTGTTACGGGTACTAGATAACTGATATAAATACATATACTATTCTATATATATATACTCGGTAGATCTGATCTATTTTTAATTAAAATTTTTGGGGTAGATAGGCCACTGTTATCATTTATTTATTTATTTATTCATTTATTTCAGGTAACTAGGCCCATATTATAAATACCTTATAGACTAACATACATATAATATAATATTTAAAAACTAATACAATAATATTGTCTGTGTGATCACGGCACTGTAGACGGCAATCTGCCACGGTAGCGCCGATACACCACACCTTTCGGCCAGTAGTCCTCTTTCATGAAGGTGGGCAACAAGTCGGTGGGGACCAGGGCCAGGGGTACTAAGTGATAAGAGTGGCCTACCCTAAAAAATTTGTTTTTTTTACAATGTCAATTTTTTTTATGATATCAAACAAATCGCTAACGACACGATCCCATCTTCTCCATAATTCTTGAATTAAAGAGCATGATGGAAGATCGCGGAAAGTGGCAAGAGCTCCACCGACAAGAGCGTAGCTCTTAAATTATGAATGAATGAATGTAAAAAAATTTAGTGCAAAAAATAATAAAGAAAAATATTTTTTATAAAACAAGGTTTGCCGGCTCAATATGTTTAAGTTGTAGAGGAAATTGGAGTGTGTAATCTAGTTATTATTAATATGAATTGAAATGTATTATTTATGCGGTCGATAATTATATATATATATACTAGCTGTTCCCGCGGTTTCGTCCGCGTGGAATTTAAGTTTAGTTTTCTAAAATAAAAGTAGCCTAAGTTACTCATTATTACATCAGCTACCTGCTAAAAAAAGTCCCGTCAAAATCGGTCCAGTCATTTCAGAGATTAGCCGGTACAAAAAGATAGACAAAAATTGTAAAAAATGTTATTTTTGTATTGTAATTATTATTAATATAAATTGAAATGTATTATTTATAACGCATTATTGAATAAATTATAAATCATTGTTACACGTACGTTACGGTACGTAGATTTATGTATGAAATTATGAGTAATTTAAGGAAACAAGGGTAACTAATTTAAAGTTATATTTATACATTATAATTATATAAATTAGAAAACATTATCGTTAAATGTATTTTACGGTGTGTGAATGTATCGATTAAATTACACGTAATTTAATATGACAAGTGTAACTAATTTAAACTATAATGGAGTATTTAATAAGTTTTATATATTACTAGCCAATGCCCGTGACATTGTCTGCCTGATATTTGTTATTCCTTCAAATAAGATTTTCAGCTTATTGAAGTGAGCTCGAGGGATACGATCGAAATAGCTTCCAACTTACGACTTTTATTCATACATTACAGCAAAGCGTAGCAGGAAAAGAGAGATGGGAATAAATTATCGAAACTTCACGATTTTTTTTTATAATATTTATGTGGCAAACTAGAGGCCTATCTGATGGTTACCATAGCCTATTTTTCATTATGTTTAGGTTATGTTATGGTATAATACATTTAGGCAACGTTTGATTTACTTACTTGACATTTATCATTATATTTCGCTCAATTTACACAGTATCTACTTAATTATAACCTATGTGTTATTCTGATGTATAAGCTAAGCTATATTTACTGTAAAGTTTCATCAAAATCCATTCAGTAGTTTTTGCGTGAAAGAGTAACAAACATCCATACATATTTACAAACTTTCGCGTTTATAATATTAACAAGATATATAGTAGTTAATAATAATAAGTTCTTCTTGTGATGAGACAGCTTCCGAATGAGCGGTAGATTAAAAAAATGTAATGACTATTCAAAAGTGTTTCAATGAAAGTTTATTTGAATAAATGATTTTCTATTCTATTCTATTCTATTCTATTTATAATTATAATATAATAGCATTTAAATATTTACATTCAAAATATTATAAACGCCAGTCACTTATGAATTGGGCCATCGGTCAAAATTACAACTATTAACCTCATTGAAACGAGGGTAGTTTTCAATATTCATGGTGTACCTACGGCGCGGTGACGTCACGCATGACTTCACCATGACGATTTTCCATGAATTTTCCACAGAACGGTTTTTATAATTTATGCACGTTTCCTGTGAATCGTTGGACTAATTGTACGTAGAGTTATGCTTTCGTGTTAATTTACTCACTTGGAACGCCCAGCTTTCTAGAAAGTTCTAAGCTTTTAAGCTTTAATAATTTAGGTGTCGGTCTGTAACACCATCACTACTTAAATATTTTTGTATTCATACTCATTCATTTTTGTATTTTTGTATTTATGGTTCGGGTCAATGTGCTCCTTCTAATATGGTTGAGTGCAATGATGGCTGGCTCATCCGTCATACTCATGAACGGGTGCTGATTGTGTGGACTGCTCTGTTTGGGTTATGAACACTGATTAGACTATTTGCTTTTGCAATAGCATATGCTGGTTGTCAAATTCTGCCAAATTTAAAAAATTAATCTGTATTATTGTAAACATTTATTTGAAAATAATACGAGCTGAGTTTCTTGTCAGTTCTTCTCATCTCGAAATCACTCCGAACTGACTGAAATAAAAGTTATATAAAATATATAACGTCATAACTTTTGTGAAAAAGAAACTAAAAAGATCTACTATAGTGATTAAATTATTTTTTACTAGCTATGTTTCACCTGCGTTTAATTTCAATAAAAATTATAGCCCATGTATTATTCTAATGCATAAACTATGTTACTGTAAAGCTTCACCAAAATCCGTTTAGTAGTTTTTGCGTGAAAGAGTAACAAACATCCATACTTACAAACTTTCGCATTTATAATATTAATAATAATAAGATTTGAATTCAAATAAACCAATTCAAATTTTTGCCCTGGCGATTTCAATTTATTTCGAGTATAAGTGATTTGTTTCTTCCCTTAGTCCCCATTTAAACATCCATGTGATATAATTTCAAAGCGGAAATATGATACGACATTAAAAAAATATGCATACAATATATTATAAAATTGTTATCAAATACATCATGGTCTAAATGTGTCTAAAGTGTAATAAATACTCAAAATAACAAATTTATAATAATACAACAAACATTGTACAAAGATACCCATCTGCTCCCCCCTATTGGTGTATTAAGAAATTTAAATAATGTTATGAATTTTATCAAAATGTTATACACGATTAAATGATATTATATCAAAATTGTTATCGCCATTTGATCAAACATTCCAACGTTACAAAGTCATTTTAAAATTTAGGATTTTCCATCCATTTCTATGAAAAATACTATAACCAGATATGTAATCAAATACAATGATAACACGATCACACTTATATTACATGATTGAGTTACTTATACATATATTGAAATTAGATTATCTGATAATAGTTTATCACGAAATGACAGATAAGAACGAGATGATCGCATTGACCTATCTACAACGTACGTTGATAATGGTGCATCTTTAAACAATGCACGCGAAGTACAGTAAAATAATACTACGAATTGAAATTTACAAACGGAAAGAACTTTCAATGCACACTGTGAAGCATTGGACACGGATCAGACGGAATGCAACGACCTTTGCTACAAATGCAAAACTTACGGTAGATCCGTTTGTGTCACGCTGCATTCAGATCCCGAAAACGTTCTACGAAAAAATTCTGTACGGTCACGCACCGTGACGTATTATCACCTGCGCAAACATTACGACGTCGGCTTGGGCGGCGCGGGTGACGTCGGCGGCCGAGCCCACCGTCGCCGCAGCCGCCGCGCGTTGACTCAGCAGCCTTTTAAAATAGAGGGCCACCGCCAGCACCATCACAATCCAATTGACCGGCAAAGGAGCAACACGTACTAGTGACTGTGACAAGTGACACGCGATAACACCGGTGCTATCGTACACAAATAAATAAATACATTGTGATATATTAAGTGAAAGGGAAATTTGTGAAAATAATATGTTTATTGAAATGGCGAAAATATTCTTGTTTGCTGTTCTGTTTGTGTTTGTGGAGGCTGTGCCCAAACCTCATCCCAGGTTAGGCAAGGATGTAATACAAAAAGGTAATTTTAGTTAACAATTGGATTTTGACCTAATACTTTAATATTCACTCGATAATACAAATCATATGTTAATAATGATGCAATATTAGATCTAGTTTAGTGATATGATAACGCTTCATAAACATTCCAATACAATTTCATTAAAGGCAAATGACCCCGCATTGGTGCTTCAAAATATATATTAACCTAATCATATTTTGTCTATAGTGGCATGCACGAGTGCAAACGAGAGATTAAGGAATGAGATCATAGAAAAGTCGAAGTGCAGGGAACCAAAAGAAGTCTTCGTTTATCTAACACCTCCATCGGCGCACGAACAGGTAAGAATTTTAACAACCCAAATACTACATTCATAAAACAATAGAAATTATTAAGTACGTAATTATGCTCAATTATCTCATGACCTCATTACATTTATAAAGGTCGTGATTATCATACACATGTGTTAATTTTGTATTTGTTTGTACAATGACATCTTCTGTAATATTTCACAACATTAAAAAATGTTAAATTACTTACTTTACATAAGTAATAAGAGTTTCAGCACCGTATCAGTCATTATTGACATAATCAGATAAAACAATGTGACGATTTTAATTTCGTCATTCATTTTCTATTAATATTTTAATCGGAATGTAATCTGAAAGAACTCGATGGACTTTAAGACATGAGTAAAGACATTAAGACAATATCAAGCGCATCCGCAATCGTACAACTCATTATAGCTCCGTGAGAAAATTTGCTACAACTAAACACTTGGCCATTCTGACGTGAACGTATTTCCCCAGGTGATACCCAGCGCAGTTTGGGTCAAAAGGTGCGTCGGCATCTGCGACTACGAAGCTGAGGGCTCCTCGTGCGCATCAACTAACACGGTCAAGAAGGCCATATCCGTAAGTACCTTTATTGCTTCCACTGACCATAATACTAGTATATCATATATGCTGATATAATCAACTCGACTAAAAGGACAAACGTTATCTGTTTATCTATCGTCTGCTAATTCAAGCTCATCCTTGGCACAGTTCTGGTGTTTGACAGTACAGTGTTGGGCAAGCGTCGATCATTAACGATAGTAATGACATAAGTTGCATCTCTGATACGCGGAGCTGAGGTGTCTATGACTCAGCTAGTTGCGTAATTTTCTGTCGAGTAATCAATGTTTTGGTTGGAAAACTATAACTTTTAGTGTATACAAAACTGATCCTTATTGTATTGTCAACAGATACGTATATACAACGTGAAGACAAAGAAGGAGACGTGCTCGACGTACCAAATAGACGAGCATAGAAGTTGCGGTTGCTGCAACCTCTCGTCGGGAGAATGCGGGATGTCGAGGATATACAATCCTCGTAAGTGCACCTGTCAATGTCCGAACATGGAGGAGCGGAGGAATTGTCTCCGAAAGGTTGGTCGGATAATGGATGTCTGTAAACACTAACGTAGGTGTACGGCGCACACGCATGCCTTTCGTAATGCATTCAAAATCAAGCGTCAGCACTATCTTTTCTTCCGCTGTTGTAACATTTGCTTATGTATTTTTTTTAATTATTTTTTTTTTATTATTACTCACAGGATTACTCTGAAATGTATGCCAATCTTACTATGATAGTATCTAATGAACTGAACTACATACTTTCTCCACAGATAATAGTTTAAATTTAACCAGAACATTTCGTACCACTAAAAGATACCGTACCATCATTATAGACTAAAATTATATAAAATAATTATATTTATCAGTTTTTGCAAATATAGACTCACAAAAAAAATTATTCATTTGAAAAATTTGAATTTAACTTTAGATATTATATTAATTCTTTCATTCTAATTTCATTTTTATTAGAAGATATAAATTAACTTATCCTTTCATTCTATCTAATTTCCCTTTTATGGGAAGATAGAAAATTTACTTTCCACCAGAGAATGTTTCTGTTCTGGGTAATTGTTGAGTTCAATTAATACTATGACGATCTCAATTTGGTATACCTATTCAGAATAATCCTGCATAGCATATAGTCTTGTGAATGATCGCGTAGAATGCAATATATTATAATAATTAACCATAACACCTAGTGCAACGCATCGTCCAATTACTTCATTATGCATCTCAGTAGCTAACAATTCTTCATTGTAACTGTTTGCGATTTTGTATGAACCATTTATAACTGATAAATAGTCTATACATATCCGCAAATTAGTTGATGTGACTGTTTCAAATGAGATTTGTTAATCACTGCGATACATATTGAAGACTCTGGATTTTTCTCGACCGCCACCTTATGTTGTGTGATGCCGTTCTGACATCCATTGTCTTTACAAACCTTTGTAGCTTATGTAAGATGTACATGAAGCTGTAGTATAGCATGCAAGCGCCTGTGTAGATCTGTGTAGTCTTTTTGTCCGCAAGTGACAAAATTCTCCATAAATTTGCTGCAAATCTCCGACACTATATGTATGCTATGCTATTTTAAGTATATTTATAATTCTATAAAACTAAATATAAGTCAATTGTTCCTCGTCTGCGCAGGCCTAAGCTTTTCATGTGCATCTTCATAGCATGACAGTTATAATTCGTTTATTTTATATTACAATAATTTAATTTTTTCTTTTACCATAAACACTAAACTTTAATCTTCTAGAACTAGGTATTGGCCTATGAAGAAGTCTTGAGATTCCATCAGAATTATCAAAATTCGTTGCTATTTAGCGATATCACTGTCTCACTGAGATGTTTATACTTTTCAAAATCTTTATTATTTGTATACAAAACTTATCTAGTCCAATATTTTGTAAAGTAAATTAAAAATTCCTTTTGATATATAAAAGAGATTTAGTATTCGATTGTAGTATCTTAAAACATGTAATATAACGACCTTTACTTTTGTTATAGCGGAACCAGAATATGAGGTGGAATCGTTTTAAATGCACTTGCGAAGAAAGGAGGAGAAGAATACAGTGATATAAATCCAGTTTCTAACATAGACAGGATTTATATCACGTATTAAACGCGAAAGCGCGATAGCAGTAGCAGGAAGGAAGTTGTGATAGAAGATGAAGAAATGTACGGAGAAAAGATCAGACAAACTTTTTCCTACGCTCATGAAGTGACTGTGAGATAATATTGTGAAACTTGGAGACTAATATGGGCTAACGTGGATATTTCTAGAAGAATTGATAGACGTCCACTAGATGCAACGCAAATTGGCGGCCGACTGACTAAAGTGTCTTATAATTAATGTATTATTGAAATTTTAGCAGTATTATTATATAAGTTATTTATTTTGTTGCTAGGGTAAAATGGGGCCAAATGTGCTGTGAGTTTTAGCTCGCTACTGTGTTCCATGACTTCTTGATTTTCCTATAGAGATCATTTTTAATTTAGTTAATTTTATGTGAAGTGCTATTTGTCCTTTTTTTTGTTTGTGTGTTATTAACTTAAGACAAGGTTTGCTTTCGAATTTTTATATTTAAATGTGATTGTGCCTTATAATGGCGAGATCGCCACTAAATGTTGGGACCACTATGTTTGGTGTTCGGTTCTGAATGCCTACTTCTGCTACATGCAGGCCTGTCCTATATATAGGTGTATGTACTTAATTTTCTCAATCGTCCAGTATAATTTTTAATTCTCAGTTTTAGCTGTCTTTATTAGTTCTAAATTAACTAGTGCATATTTATTAATTAATGTTGTATTTATGACATCACTATACAGTATTTTAAGCAATGTATATATATATCGTATAGTATTGGTATACAAGCGTACAAAGATTACGCAATTCCTAAATTGTGATATAGTTAGTTAAATTTCCAATAGGTTAATGTTTAAGTAGTTTAATATATTTATATTGACAAATATTGAGTGTATAGGTCTCGATTTTTGAGTTGGCTCTCTCTCTATGTATTTAGTTAATAATGACTGTTTCCAATTTTGGCCATGGTTGTTGAGTTGTGTGCTCTCCTGTATTATCTTCGATAGGATTTTCGTTTCTTCCGTGTACGTAGATTGTCTTATCATCGACTAGCCTATCATTTAACGTGCTCAATTGAACGGAAGGCGACGTAATTCCTATCAATGCGGGGAGTTTATCACGTTCTGTGCGATTATGTTTAATTATCTATGGGACCTAGTCTACAATCGTGCCAAAGAATCTCATAGATTATCTAAATTTATTATTAAATTAATTTATTATTTTTGAAAGCTTGAAAAGCTTTATGTGATCGAATCACTACGATTGGTTTTTTTTTTATTATGTACTTATAATTTATAAGCTCAATAAAATTGTATTTGAATTTTGAAAACTTATTTTATTAATTAACCTATCTCTAATTAACTCATAGTATGTAATGTTATGTTATCTTTGCTCACAGTAATCATATTTTTAGGTTTCCTTTTTCTAAGTGTGGAGAATGAGGACTATAATGTCAGTCACGTTTTCATCTCTCAGGAGAAATAGAAAATAGAAATAATCTTTATACAAATAAACTTAATATAAGCACTTTTGAATAGTCACATTTTTTTATTCTACCATTACGGAAACATATCATTTATACATTGATTCGAAACAAACTAATACAGATGTAGGTATATTAGCGAACAGTAATCTGTACTTGTACTTTGTCACAATAACAATTTATTATTATTAAGTGAATATGTTTGAATTGGTCAATAACATCAATATTACAAAGATCGCGTTTAACCGATAAAACAAATAGAAATATAAAAAAAATAGATATTACCTATATAATTTAGTCTATAGTAAATCAAACTCCAATTCTGTCGGTAATGTCAAGGAAATAGAATAGAAAATCATTTATTCAAATAAACTTAATTTAAGCACTTTTGAATAGTAATCATTTTTTTTAATCTACCGCTTATTCGGAAAGCTGTCTCATCACAAGAAGAATAAGCAAGAAACTTGTGTGTTGCTCTTTTAAATAATCCTTGTAAGTTCACATTTTACAAGTCGAAACGTGTGAATACAAACTACCAACCAGCACTAATTTATTTAGGCTCAAGTATAAAAACGCAATAAGATTATATATATTATAATAGAATAGAATAACATGTATTACAATTAAAAATATAATTGTAGTAGAAGTGTAGTGGTTTAAAGAGTATAGCGGAAGATTGTGGAAAGTGATAGCTCCATCGACAAGAGCGTCGCTCTTAAATTATGAATGAATGAATGAATAATCACCTAACGCTGTGTAACGCAATTATAGTTAATTCCAATGAATTAACAAAGTATTAACAGGAAAGTCATTGAATAAATCATCATAATTAACAAATTATAGCAATAAAAATTTTTTTTCGTTAATTAAGTGTGATTAACGTAAGTTTGGATGGGGATTAATGACTTTACTGTTAAATTAGTGAGATACCCCGGCTTCGCTCGCATTCTATTAATGTTGTTTTCATTCTATTAATTTTTTTTATTTTTTTATATAGCATATGCTGGTGGTCACTCTATTCTCCCAAATTTGAATTTAAATGTAATAGTATTATCGTAAATATGTACAACATTAAAAAAAAAATACGAGATGAGTTTCTTCTCAGTTCTTCTCATCTCGAAATCATTCCGAACTGACGGTAGATTTGACATATCATAAGAGTTTGTAATAGACCTACATGAATAAAGATATTTTGAATTTGAATTTGAACTTGAGTTGTGAGATTTGTATATATACAAAATATGATATGGAATAATGTAAGTTTCGACTAGGTTGCACTAGTCGTGGTCCCGAGCTGACTGGAGTAATAGCGATGTCAATGTAGATAAGTGACAGCAGTTTTTTCCTCTACCGTATATTATATATAATAATAATAATGTCTCAGGACAATTGACACAGCGCCATCTAGTTCCAAGCTAAGCAGAGCTTGTGTTATGGGTACTAGACAATTGATATAAATACATGGACAAATTTTTTTTTGTAAATAAATACATGCCTTGTAATGGTGTCTGATCTATCATTTAGTAAACATGTTACGGATATATGTGGAAAGTCTTACCGTAATTTAGGTTTTTTGTTGAGACAGTGTAAGGATTTTAATAATACATTAGTTGTCAAAATACTATACAATTCGCTCGTACGAAGTCATCTCGAAACGAACGCTATAATATGGAATCCACATGAGACTAAATATAGCCATATGATCGAAAAACTACAAAATAAATTCACTCGATTTTTATACTTTAAGGAATACGGTATTTATCCTTACTACCCCATGATGTATCCGAGTTTGTTTGTAATGGGCATGGTTGGGTATAATAAATTAGCGGTGAGAAGAGATGTCTCTCTCGTAAAATATGTTGTGAGTGTGCTGCGAGGTTGGGTGCATCACCCAGAAATATTAGAGCAAATTCAGCTATGGGTACCCAATGGTTACGAGGGGGGGGGCCGTCATCCCGTTTTATTCAGTATTCCGGTAGCCAGGACCAATTTACTAAAATATTCACCTGTAACCCGTGCTTTAGAGATACTGAACAATATCAGAAATGATATTGATATTTTTGATTGTAGTCTGCCGAAGATCACAGAAGCCATTCAAAAGTATCTAGAATTTTTATAATGTGTATATTATGTAATAAAATATGTTATGTTATAAATTGATATATATATGAATGTATACTGTACTAAGTTGCGACACCGATTTGGATATACTGTAATGGTGTTGTAATATTGAAATGAATAAATAAATAAATAAAATAAATAAATAAATATTATACATAGAAAACACCCAGACCGATACAAACAATCATACTCATGAATACAAATGTTTGTACCGTGCGAGGAATCGAACCCACGACCATCGGATAGTAAAGCGGTGTGCTAAACCACTAGACCACCGAGGCTGTATATATGTAATAGTCTTCAATAATAAAATATATCACACCTATTTGAGATTAATTCGACTATTTCCGGCACACATTTATTTCCATTGTGTAAGTGTCTTTCATCTATTTTAATTTTGACAAAAACGATACAACCTATTGAAACTTTGTGCGTTGCATCTTTAAGCAATACGAGTAAATTTAAAACACAAAACCTCAGTATTACACGTGCAAAAAAATATGTTTATCTGTGCTTGTCACTTCGAATTAGCGTACTGACAAATAAGTTACTTTCCGTCGACCTTCAATTAGGTAATATAAGAGCAATGAAATGATAGAGTTGGGTCTAGTATTTCTTTTGTATTTTTTCCATCAAATTCCATATTATACAATACTAGCTGTGCCCGCGGTTTTACTCGCATACATTTTATAGCCTATGTGTTATTCTGATGTATAAGCTACATAACTGTAAAGTTTCATCAAAATCCGTTGAAACAAGCTCGTTTGTGGAACTTTTTATTAATGATGATAATGAAATAAGCACTTTTCTTGAAGGTTTCAATATCGTATCAGGTTCGGAAATACCATTGCTGGAAGGTGATTCCACATTGTGGTTGTGCGTGGCAAAAAGTTTCTAGAAAACTGCACTGTGGAGGACCGCCATTTATCCAGAAGATCAGGATGGTATTTTAGTTTCTGGTGGCTGATACGGTGGTGAAACTCAGCAAAATCTTGGCAAATGGCCATTAACCACGATGGTTTTCAGAAGTTCCAGAACCGCGTGAACCTGACATGGTAAATTGTTAGCAATGGGGTAAATTGCCATTTACCAAGATGGACTAACTGACATGCCTTCATGCTCATTTGTCATCCTCCACTGGTTCCCCACCAGCGTGTTGATGCAGGCGGGTTCATCATTCCAATCTAACGAACAGGTATGTTTCGCGTCGTCACAATTTTATTATTATATTAACTACGCGCCCTGGCTTCGCTCGGGTGTAAATGTGTTAAATTACTTAATTATAAACGTTTGTGAATCATTTTAGCTATTGCTAATAACGACATTAAAATCCGTTGCGTAGTTTAAAAAATCTATGCGAACAGACAGCGAAAGCGATTTAATTTTATACTACTTGTAACTAGCTACTCGCCCCAACTTCGCCTGAGTGTACATGTATTGTACATATAAACCTTCCTCTTGAATCACTCTACCTATTAAAAAAAACCGCTTCACAATCCGTTGCGTAGTTTTAAAGATTTAAGCATACATAGGAACAGACAGCGACAGCGACTTTGTTTTATACTATGTAAAGACGTAAAAGTGAATTTGTACAGAAACCTGGAATTTTACGAATATCATATAATCACGATAAACAATTAATTATTAGGAAATAACTTCTAACAAGAAACTAGCGAACATAAAAGTTTAATGTTTCTAAAACGGAAATGCACTCGTGCATTTACCTCGTATAATCATAGATTTATAATAGAGGTCCTAACCTGAGCCCTGGGAAAGCCCCTGTGTATATAGATATATCAACGGATTATATTAACTTTTCCTGTTACAATTCATTTAATTGACGTATATATGTAAATAATCTTATTATAATAAACGCTGTAGGTTGTGTGTACGATGGATGTTTGTAACTCTTTCACGCAAAAACTACTTAACGAAGTTTGATGAAATTTTACAATAATATACGAGTAGCTTATACGTCAGAGTAACACATCTTACTAATATTATAAATGCGAAAGAAACTCTGCCTGTCTCGCTTTCACGCCAAAACTACTGAACCGATTTAAATGGAATTTAGTATTAGAGATGATCTAGACCTTGAGAAAGGACATTTTAATGTATAAAAGGGTTGTAAGGGGTTGAAAGCGGAGATAAAAGGTTGTATGGAAATATCGTTGTTTCTATAGTTAGAACCTTGAATCTTATTTTTTAGGTTGTTGATTAAATATAAATAAACATGAACAAAAATCAAAGTTAGTAAAATTTTTACATTTAAAATAAAGTAGGTGATAAAAGTTTGCACCGAAATTCTTAATTAATACGTCTAACGAAGCAAGTAGATCTATTTTCTTGTTCTCTGAATGAGTTCACGAAGATTGCTTTATTTATAAGTTACAATTAAAAAAATAATGTTTGTTGCACTATTGAATTAGGGTAAGACCTGTAAATATTTTTTTACACACTTACGTCTAAGTGTGTAAAAAAATAAAATAAATAAATCTTGTTAAATGTACATTGTTCTATGCGGATGAAGCCGCGCGTACACCTAGTAGGCTATTTATTTC